TTTGAGGAGCGAATAGGAGTTTGCCTAGTAGGCCAGATGGAGATGGGGAGGAGACTCGGGAGAGGTAACAGCTTGTGCAAAGTTGTTGCTGCCGGAGTCTGGTGTGGCTGCGATAAGGACCGAGGAATGCTGTGGCTAGGTAGTGAGGCTGGGGGAGGAAGTAGGGGCAGATCACGTGGGGCGGGAGTGGGCGTGGTCAGTGGTGTCCCTGGTAGTGGGAAGAGGTAGTTGGGTCTGATAAGACGGTCATTGTCACCCGGAGTGAACGTGGACGGTGGCTCAAACTCACAGACGGAGAGAGCCTGTCCCCTTCTCCTCCTTGCTCAAGCAGAGAAAACAGCTGGGCTGCTGTGTGGCAACTGGGCTGGAAGGGAAGTGACTGCGGCAGGGAGCTTTATGAGCGATGCAATGGAACGAGGCCCTTCCACGGGTCCTGAGTGTCGGGGGTTCTGTGATGCCTGAGTCGGTAGAGGAAAGAACTCAGCAGGAAGGTGCAGCCTCCGATGAGCTGAGCCCCAGACAGCCGTACAAAAGCGTATTTACTGATTGTCACACAAGGTTGTTTTTCGGGTAAAGTATTTCCTCATACCCAGGTCCCTAGTCTAATTCCTCTGCTTTTCTGAAGGAGAGCATCATGTCCCTGCTGCTTTAGCTCTTTATTGGGTACCATTTGCAGCACACAGTCATCAAGAGCTTTGTGTGCCAGGAGCGTCTTGTGACCGAAGTCATGCAAAGGCTGTAGTGTCCCCTTCAGAAAAACGATTCTGTAAATCATGGAAGACAATCACCGCCTTCCACAACGGTTCTTTAAGGTCGATGTCCTTCTAGCAGACAGCTGTTCACGCTCATGATTTGCCCTAGATAGAGTGACCCTGCTAGACTGGTTCAACTGGGCACCTATGTCAGGCCCTGTTCTGAATGCCAGGGGAGAGAGTTTGCCTTTTCTTTTGGTTTTTCGAGACAGGGTTGCTCTGTGGCTTTGGAGCCTGTCCCGGAACTAGTTCTGTAGACCAGGCTGACCTTGAACTCACAGAGATCCACCTGCCTCTGCCTCCCGAGTGCTAGGATTAAAGGCATGTGCCACAACCGCCCGGCGACAGCTTGCCTTTTTTAAGGGTCTCTTTGGTCTCAGACTCAGCCTAAAGACAGGGTATGGGAGAAGGGAGGAAGTTCGGGGCATCAGAGCCCCAGGTGGAGGAGACACAGGAACTCTGACTTTGCATTGCCCTCTCTCTCAGTTCCCTGCCCAGGGCTCAGGCATGGCGATGGCAGTAGCCCAGAAGTTCAACCACCTGCTGTCCAGCATGTGGCACATGGGCCAGAAGCCCCTGCAGCCAGAGCCCGTGTTCACGGTGGACCGGGCTGAGGTGCCGCCTCTCTTCTGGAAGCCGTACATCTACGCTGGCTACCGGCCGCTGCACCAGACCTGGTGTTTCTACTTCCGCACACTCTTCCAGCGGCACAACGAGGCTGTGAACGTGTGGACCCACCTGCTGGCGGCGCTGGCGCTGCTGCTGCGCCTGGTCATGCTGGTGCGGAGTGCGGACTTCCGGGAAGACCCGCACGCCAGGCCCCTCTTCATCATCGTCCTGGCCTCCTTCACTTACCTCTCCTTCAGCGCCCTGGCGCACCTCCTGCAGGCCAAGTCGGAGTTTTGGCACTACAGCTTCTTCTTCCTGGACTACGTGGGCGTAGCCGTGTACCAGTTTGGCAGTGCCCTGGTGCACTTCTACTATGCCATCGAGCCCACCTGGCATGCCCAGGTACAGGCCATCTTCCTGCCCATGGCTGCCTTCTTGGCCTGGCTTTCCTGTGCGGGCTCCTGCTACAACAAGTACAGCCAGAAACCAGGCCTGCTGGGCCGCATTTTCCAGGAGGTGCCCTCAGCGCTGGCCTATGCTCTGGACATCAGCCCCGTGGTGCACCGCATCATAGTGTCCCCTCTCCCTGCTGAGGAGGACCCCGCACTTCTCTATCACAAGTGCCAGGTGGTTTTCTTTCTTCTGGCCGCTGCGTTTTTCTCCACTGTCATGCCCGAGAGTTGGTTCCCCGGCAGCTGCCACATCTTTGGGCAGGGACACCAAGTTTTCCATGTCTTTTTGGTGCTGTGCACACTGGCTCAGCTAGAGGCGGTGACGCTGGACTATCAGGCCCGGAGGCCCATCTATGAGCCTCTGCATGCCCGTTGGCCCCACAACTTCTCGGGCCTCTTCCTGCTCACTGCGGGGAGCAGCGTTCTCACAGCCCTGCTCCTCAGCCAGCTGGTGCGGCGCAAACTCCATCAGAAGACTAAGTGAAAAGCAGCGTGGGCAGGAGCTGGCAGGGGGAGAGATGGCGCTAGGGACAAGGGCCTGGACTTGGCTCCAGATGGGGACAAGGTCTGGTAAAGTTTTTCCTATCTGGCAGGCTATGACTCCCTGCCTACAAGCTCAATGGCCAAAGTGGCGCTAGCCAGTACTCGGATCCGGAGATTGACTGGTATAGAGTCCCTGGCTAGTTCCCTGCCCTGGGAGTGGAAGAGAAAAGGGAGAAGATCTTCCTGACTGTCCATTCCTTGCCTCCTCTCACTGATAACGGTTGGGGTTCAGCTTTGGTTGGGGTTTCCAGGTTGTTGGGTGGGAGATGAGACTTTGGCCAGTGTCAGATTTGAACCTAAAGGGAGGGGCCACCTTCTACTATATTTCCTTGGTGGAGGGGAAAGAAACAGGCCAAAAGATGGGTAGCATTTTAATCTTCCTGTCTTCTGCACCCGAGCCTGGATCCCTGGGCTCCAGAGAGTCTCCAAAGACAAAAGATCCCCTCCGCTGCCCACATCGGTTCATCACAGCCCTAGCCTTAAGCCTCTCATCCAGCATTGGCCTGTGGGTCCTGTACGCTCTTTCCAGCTTCTCTCCCACAGTTCTCAGATGGGATTCCAAGTTCTGTCTCCTTAGCTCTGTTTCCCAGGACTCCAGGCTCTGGCGCCTTATGGAGCTGTTTAAGGAAGCTCCGAAGCCAGGCTAACCATAGTACTGCCTGGGGCATTCAGAATCCTGGGCTGGGGAGAGTGGGGAGTCTGCTCCCTGAGCTTAGACAGGCATTCCAGGCAGAAGCAGACACCTGGGCCCAGACCCAGAGACACAGAGCAGGGGTTCAGTGGGGCTGGAGGTAAGGCTGGAGTCTGGTCCCTGGTATGTTCTAGATTCAATAAAGCAACTAAGACAACAGCTTCCTCTGTTTTTGACTCAAGCTCCAGGGAGGGACCCCATTCACAAAGAGGTTTTTTGTTTTATTTTGTTTGTTTTTAGAGTTGTTTTCAGTGAACACATCTTATGCCTCTTTTTAAAAAAAAATTCTTGTGCCGGGCAGTGGTGGCACTTGCCTTTAATCCCAGCACTCGGGAGGCAGAGTCAGGCGGATCTCTGGGAGTTCGAGGCCAGCCTGGTCTACAACAGCTAGTTCCAGGACAGGCTCAATAGCTACAGTGAAATCCTGTCTCGACCAAAAAAGAAAAAAAATTCTGTGGGAGGGCGTCCTCTCTTGGAGTTACAGACAGTTGTGAGCTGCCATGTAGGTGCTGGGAATTGAACCCCTATCCTCTGGAAGAGCACTCTTAACTGCTGAGCAATCTGTCCAACACCCAAAGGAGGGTTTTTTTCTTTTGAAGCTGCAGGGTGCTGAGGGGTTGTTGTGGAGCAGGGGATTTTATGTTTATCTGAGTATAAAACTGATGTGGAGAATGTGTGTGGGTGTGTGTGTATGAAGTATATACATATTTGGCATTTTGAGGGATTGAAGAGCAGTTTTAAAATTAACTAAATTTTAGAGGTAGTTGAAATAGTGTTTAAAATCTAAGGGTTGAGGACAAGGCTCAGTGGTAGAATGGCAGCCTGGGAAGAAGAGAGACCCCGTCTCAGAGAGGACTGGTGATCGAGCTGATTGTAGATCAATCCCCAGCACGGCAAATGAACAATCGGCTAGGACATATCCTTCCACCGACAACACATTCCGGGGCTCTTCATAGACGACACAGGAAACTTACACATGTGAAAGTGTATATTAAATGACATGTATAAAATTTATAAGAGATATACACCTGAGGCTGGAGAGATGCTTGGTGGTTAAGAGTGTGGACTGCCCTTCCAGAAGATCTGAGTTAGATTTCCCACACACGTTGGGTGGCTCACAATCCCCGGGACCTCCAGCCCTAAGGGTACAATGCCTCTGAAGGAATCATCGCTCACTTGTACACCCCCCCACACATAATTACACATAATTGTAACATACTTATACTTAGTTTTGCTTTGAACTCACAGAAACCTGCCTCTGCTTCCCAAGCAAGCGCTGGCATTAACACCCTTCCACCATGCGTTACAAGCACCCTATCAAATGAGCCATATCCTCACTCTTTGATTTCAATTTTTATTTCATGCTTTCAAAAATCTTCCGTGTAGTAGCTCAGTGACTCTTACATGCCAATTAGTGGCAACCTTGAGTGCCAGGTAGCTAGGTCAGTGATGGGACCCGGATGTTTGGAGTGGGGTCCAGAGCCTGGTTCCATGGCTCTGGGGCTGCAGCTCAGGGCTGGAGAGATGGCTCAGTTGTTAAGAGCACTGGATGCTTTCCCAGAGGACCGGGGTTTGATTCCCAGTACCTATATGGCAGCTCAGGAGATCTGACTGCTCTGCCCTCGTAGACACACACGCCTATATATAATTAAAAATTTATATATACACACATCTATGTGTAATAGGTGTACATACAAATATATGAAATATGTATATAGTTTACATATACATACACATACATATGAAACATGAGCAGTCCTGCCAAACCAAACGCGGTGGCGACCCACGCACGCAGAGAGCTTTCTAGACCTCTCTCTGCTCCAGAGTCCACACAGTGGATAATAAGGCGGGAAAAGGAGTCTCTCTAGGGCACTGGGCGTGGTCGGGGGCGGGGCCTACGTCTTGGCGGCCGCGGCGGGGCCCCGCCTCCCGCAGCGGCGCGAGATCCAAACGCGTCGGCGCAAACGGCGGCTGCAGTGTGCGCGGTTTGGGGCCGCCATGGGACGCAGAGGGCCCAAGGAGAAGAAGGAGGAGGCGTGTGGCGTGTGGCTGGACGCGGCGGCGCTGAAGAGGCGGAAGGTGCAGGTGGGCCGCAGGGGTTGAAGCGGCACGCGGGCTTTGGGGACGCCCGACGGGAGGGGGCCGGCATGGAGGGAGGACGGCTTCGGGGCCACGGGCTGCGCGCGGCCTAAGCCGGCGCCTAAGTCGTCCTATGGCATCCTGGGAGAGGTCAACTAGGGTCACCCGCAGGGTGTGTTCTCCCCAGCCTGCCAGAACGTCGAAAATGCAGGGCGAGGATCTGGCCCAACGTTAAACGGGCATCCCTGGGGTGCTGGAGACTGTAGTGGGCATTTAATATGCGTTGCCTGTGTCGTTGATCTTTTCCCAGTGAAGGAGGGTTGAGTATGCCAGGTTCGCCTGATTAGGTCATTACCAACACGTGTGAGATAGTTGTTTAGCCTTTCCTGCTGGCCATTATGGCAGGTTTCAGGTAATGTTACTTTTTGTGAGACAGCTGGTCCATATAACCAGGCAGGACGTGGACTCGGAAAGATTACTGCTGACTCGGGACTGTTAAAGGCTATTTTTCCCCTCTTAAGAACATTTTTGGAATCGGTATTTTATTGACGCGCTCTGAAATTTAAAGGTGTGGCGTGTACAGTGATAGGCGCTCTATTGATGCGCTCTGAAATTTAAAGGTGTGGCGTGTACAGTGACAGGTGCTCTATTGATGCGCTCTGCAAGTTAGAGGTGCGGTACGCACAATGAGGCGTAGTCTTGTCTTGCCCTGGAATTACTGTAGTTTTTCAGTGATTTCTGTGTCTGCAACAAGCAAATGCATCTTTTTTAAAAATAGTTTATTTAAATTCATTTTGTGTGCATTGGTTTGAAGGTGTCAGGTGCCCTGGAACTGGAGTTTGAGACAGTTGTGAGCTGCCGTGTGGGTGCTGGGAATTGAACCTAGGTCCTTTGGAAGAGCAGCCAGTGCTCTTAACCACTGAGCCATCTCTCTAGCCTGTGTGTGTGTGTGTGTTAAGATTTTAAAATTTTTTTGTTTATGCATACATGCCTGTATGGATGACCTTGGAGGTGAGCTGGAGTTTTGTGGGTTCTTGAACCTGAACTTGGGGCCTGTGGAAGAGCATCAGGCTCTCATAACCACTGAGCCATGTCAGCAACCTGTAACTTTGTCTTTATTTCTTGCTTCATGAATGTTTTCATAGAGCTGCCTTGTGCCTTTGTAATATTACAAATATTAAATGCCATTCATTGTATGCAGTGATATTACTTTAGTAAACCCAGGATGCCATAAGAAAATACTGTAGTCTAGATGGTTTAAACAGCAGAATTGGTTTCTCAGTTCTAAGGATTGCGAGTCTTGATAGCAGGGTGTCATCATACTCCTGTCTGATGAGGATTCTTGCAGTGTGCTTAGGTGACACTGTGGTGTATGTGTGGGTCCATGCATGGAGAAAGAAACAGCAGGCTCTCTAGTGTCGTGAGAGACCCACTTGGCCTCATTCAATACTAATTACTTCCCAAAGGTACCATCTCATTGGGAGTTAATGCTTCAGTGTATGAACTCCATGTGGCCAGTGTCCATAGCGCTGTGTACGCGTGTGTGTCTGTGTCTTATGTGACTCCCTGTGTCTAATGTGTCTTCCTGTATCTTTTCAGTAGTTCCTAATTGATGAAAAGTTGTCTTCCATCTTTTGCTATTTCAAACAGCTTATGAGCTAGGTTTGATGGCATGTGACCCAGAAGCTGGAGGCAAGAGGATTGCGTGTTGAGGCCATCTTTGAATGGGTGATTTCCAGGTCAGCTTGGACTATTCAGTGAAACTGTCTTGGGAAATAACAAAACAAACATAAAACCCATGGAAACAGAGACTGTGTGTTTGTTTCCCGGCTTCCCAGACCCGAATAATCACAGAAACTATATTAATTAAATACTGTTTGGACAATAGCTCAAGTGTGTTCCTAGCTAACTCATATCTTAAATTAACCCATTTCTATTAATCTGTGTATCACCACGAGGCTGTGGCTTACCAGTAAGGTTCCGGTGGCATATTTCTCCTTCAACAGCTACATGGCATCTCCTTGACTCTGCCTACTCTCTATATCTGTGTTGGGATTTCCCACCTGGCTTTACTGTGCCAAGCCATTGGCTGAAATAGCTTTACCATCAACCAATAAATGCAACACATATACAGAAGGACATCCCACATCAAACCTAAAAGCCATTTCTGTGACAAGATGTTATACATCCTTTTCCCTCACCATCTACACCATATATATGTATATATATGTTTTCTTTGGTATCCTGTGTAATTATTACTATTTTTGTTTGTTTTCTTTTTATGTAGCCCAGATTGGTCTGGAGCTCCCCATGTAGACCAGACTGGCCTTTAAGTTATCTTGGTCCTCCTGCTGAGATGACAGTTTATGCTATCACATGGAGCCCTTGGTAATATTTAAAGAAAACAGGAAATGCTAGTATTTCTCTGGGCTCTGTGAGCTTCTCCAGAGCAAATGACTGTGGTTTGTGGAATGCATAGCAGGTAAACAACCCTGGGCTTGGGATTGGCATCTAAATGGGGTAGCTTTTTGGGGCCTGACTCAGCCCGTGGGATCTGACATCATCTGTGGGAAATGGTGTCAGGATGAATTGCGGTAGAGGACACTTGGCTGGTGTTTGCTGCCCGGATTGTTTTCTAGGCTGTGAGGAAAAAGCCACACACTTAGTGTTGGGAATGTTTTCTTCCTTCTGCATTCTCATAAAACACTGCAGAGCAGAGAAGAGCACCACGGCACCTCTAACAGAATACAGAACCCTGCCTTTTCTGGAGCAGCCAGCAGGGAGGTCACAGAGCAAAGCTACTGGCCAGTGCTTTGGAAAACCTGCCTCTCCCCTCTTGGTCTCTGAACAAGGCTGACTTTCCTTTTGGAGCGAATGAGGGAAGCACACCCTTTCAGCCTATGTTTAGAGTAGGTTTGTGTCTTATCTGTTCTCACTACCACAGACATGCAGTGTTGGCCTCACCACCTAGGTTTTGGTACAGCAGATAGTTGTTTTCCTTCCTTCCTTCCTTCCTTCCTTCCTTCCTTCCTTCCTTCTTTCTTTCTTTCTTTCTTCCTTTCTTCCTTTCTTCCTTTCTTCCTTTCTTCCTTTCTTTTTCTTTTTAAATTTAAAAAGTATTTAGCCAGGCATGGTAGCACAGGCTTGTAACCCCAGCATGTAGGAAATGGGGATAGGCAAAATCAAAAGAGTTCAAGGCCACTGGGCTACTTGACAGACACCCATACATACTTATTAAAATAAAACCAAACAAATAATACTGAATTGTTTTAAAAACAAAAGGCCTCATTGGTGGTAGCTATAGTTAACAGGTTGGTATCCTTCAAGACATGTGTATATAAGTATTGTCCCCCTAATCTAGTGGGTGTTTGAAACCTCTATACTGAACCCTATATATGCTTTATGCCCTCAAATTCATAGAACTCCGCCTGCCTCTGTCTCCTGAGTGAGTGCTGGGTTATTATTTTGAGAGAGAGTTTCACTGTAGCTCTGACTGCCCTGGAACTCACTATATAGATGAGGCTGGCCTCTCCCAAGTCCTGGAATTAAAAGTGTGTCCCTATGAAGGGTGAGATTTATTGTTCTCTAGTTATGTGTAGGTGTGCGTGCCTGTGTTGGGGTATGTGCACATGGATGCAGGTGTCTGGCCAGAGGTCCCCTGGAAATGGAGTCAAAGGCAATTGTGAACTGCCTGATTGTAGGTACTAGAACCAAACTTGGATCCTTTGGTAAACCAGCAAGCACTGTTGACTCTACAGCCCTTATGAAGAAAGGGTTTCACATAGTACAGGTTGGCCTTGAGCTCATACAAGGTCAAGGATGACCTAAACTTCTGATTACCCATCTCTGTCTCCTGGATGCTGAATTTTAAGCCTGTGCTGTTATGCCCAATTTTATAGGGTGCTAGGGATCAAATTCGGTGCTTTATGTATGCTAGATAACCACTCTACCCACTGAAATCCACCCCTAGCCCTCAAGTTTGAACCTTCTACAGAACAATAATAGAAGTAGCTCTAACAAATGCTGTTATGAGAGGCATGCAAACGCTGTCTCTCAGTTCTCATGGGGAGAGTAGAATATATGGTGTAAATACAGTGGAGAAAGATGTTTCACATCCTGCTGCAGTAGGATGGTGTAGAAATTTACCACCATGCTGAGAATAATTCAAATTAAAACTGTTTATTTCTGTGACTTCCATTAATATGTTAGGCTTGAGTTGCTGAGACACAGAAAGCAAAACCTCGAGTATTAGGGATTTCCTCACACGGTCACAACTGCCCACCTCCCGCTAGGTACAGAGAGCTTTCCACATAGCCCTACAAGTTATGACAGTATGATACCTCAAAAGGCTAATTGATGTAACTTCTAAGTTTTATATTTAACTGTGCTTCTTCTGTGTAAAAACACTGAAAAATATCCACTGCCTCCTTGCAGCACTAGGAATTGAATCTAGGGCCTCGCACATGCCAGGCAAGTGCTCTGCCACTAAGCTGCTTTCCCAGCCTTTTTTGTCGTTTGTATGCATGTGTGTGTATGTATGATCCACTGTGTACATGTGAACACACCCTAGTGAGCCTTAGGGAAAAGGGTTTTTCCTACACGTTAGAGACAACACAAATTTAAGATGATTAATATATTTGCCAGCTCCATTGTGTGACATTTAAATGTCACTATAATTAAAGGACATGATCAGGAGAAATGGAATTGTGAGCATACCACTTCGGCTGAGTTGCCGTCAGTTTCTAGGCCAGTGCAGTGGATCACTGACCGCCGCCCTGATCTTGGCAGCTCCATTAGCATTCATCCAGTCAGCACATTCTCTGCTGGGCTGTCAGATGGAGTTAGAGTTCTTCCCTCCGGTCCTCCTCCCATCCTATCATTTTGTCCTTGGATTGAACATAGGGCCTCTCTCTACCACCTACTATATCCTCAGTTCTGTCCCCTTCCTCTCTTCAGACAAGGACCCACTATGTTCCCAAACTCAAAATCTTCCAGCCTCA